AATTAACGAAATGTGATAGCCGAAAATTAAAATTTCACACAAAACCTCACAATAATCACGACACTTGAAGATCCTATAGTACGGCACTTGTTTATTCCGACACTTGTACTTGTACAAGTACATGGACTGCGCCAACATGCTTGCATGTGAAAGAGGACCACGAGGGGAAAAGGTCGTCTCGCATCCTGTGTGTGATTATTGTGAGGTTTTGTGTGAAATTTTAATTTTCGGCTATCACATTTCGTTAATTTCTTACTTTTTAGACGGGGTCCATGGACTAGAACACAATAACTTTTTTTAGAAAACTGCCATAAAGCAGTTTTTATTGCTATAATTTCTTTTGTTTTTTTGGCTCAAGGATATTATTATTATTATTATTTTATTTATTTTACTAGGGTGTTTCCCACAGACCTATGGTCTTCTTACGGGAGCCCCTATGTACTACATGTACGTGTATCATATCAAATTCAATACCGTATTATACGCATTGATGTGCAAGCCTTTTCTTGCGGAAAATGGAACTAGTCTTGCGTATGATGACAGATGTACACTGTATTCAGGTTCTTCTGCCGGGGAATCATATGGGTAGTGCAGTGGCGGTGATAATAATAATAATAATAATAATAATAATATCTTTATTAGGATGACCCGATACCTTTTTTATACGCAGGTCATTCTGTGGATGTTGCAGAATTTCATGACTCTGTCATAAAATTGTCTTGTCTTTCAGAAAATTCAGATGTCCACACCCTAAATCACATTTACATGAGAATTGTAACCAGGTGCGTGCCGCAGATGTTTTTGTTGATTCTGTGTTTATAATTGTAGTCATGGGTTGTCGTGATAAGGTCATCCGGCATCATATTGTAGTGAAATCGTAATCCTGTTGATGTCGATAACACTTTTGGAAGCAGTTCAATGACTTCAAAGTGTTACAAGTCCACGATTGTCTAAAACAACACAGCAAAGTAGGAACAATAAACATGTATTAAAATGTAAACAAATACATTGCTGAGTCCGACACCTTGTTCCAACAACTACACTGATCCTGAGGATATAAGGGGCAAGGATATATGGTTGGAGGTACTGAGAGATAAACAAGGCACTCCATAATAATAAAATGTTACACGACTTTGGGGGAGTATGAATGATATCCAGTCAAACCCCCTTAGGACGAACATGAAGGGACCGATGGCATTTGCTCTGTGAGTTTGTCTTAACCCTATTTTATAACGAGTGAATACAATTATTTCTCCAATAGAGACACGAATAGATTTCTTCTAAAGCGAAAGATTCTAAGCCAGACCAAACCATTGACTCGTCTTTTATGAAACAAATGAGTCACTGAACCTTTCTTTAGGAACATGACGGCAACTGAAACAACAACAGAGAAAATACGATACATGTACAGCACATTCTTGCAGGTACAACAAACAGATTGCAGATCGTAATTCTTGCTCTACCGGCACGCAACTTTATTTGGGGCAGTGCAATCTCAGCGCTACTCACAAATCAAACAGCCCAGACTCGAGTAAACAAATCCAATCGTACGAGATTTTCACGAGACGAGACTGCACCCAGTAGGGAGGTTCTGCTCTACGTTTTGGGAACGCGACGCAAAGAATCACGCGAACTTTCTTCGCGTTCCCGTAACGTAAAGAAATGCTGTTCTGCTCTACGTTTCACCTAGAGAAGTCACGTGGAATGTGTACTGGGAATTTTCCCTTCCATATTTGGCAGTTTTCTGCATGCAGTTGATCGATACCCAGCAAATTTTCTCTGCGTGTGCCACAACGTAGAGAACCCCATCTCCGCGTAGAAATCTGGAGCCAAAACACGCGAAGCCGTAGACTCTAACCCAGACACCTGCTCTCTACGTGATTTCTCTACGTTTCACGTATAGCAGAACCTCCCTATTGGCTTGTTTCGTATGAAGCAAACAAGTCACTGAATGCATGAACCTCTCCATAATGGAGATTTTCCCTGATATGCGAATTTATCTTGCATACTAGTCCTGGGCCAATGCGTCCTTGAACCTTCCCCTACAGATTGGGAACTGCCAACGATGCTATGCCACTGCAAAATTCAGATTCTACCCTATGATCGGGGCACGGAATGCCGGAAGCAATCATGACCAGTGCCTTACTTGTAACGTACCAATGTACAATGAACATGAGTATTTCGACAACACATCTAAGCCTCAGCAGCAACATACAATGTAAGCCTTACCGTCAAGAAGGTGAACTCGCGTTCTTCGCACACTGTTGGCAAGGGCAAAGAGATACGAATGGATCTAAATCCGAATAAAATCAGCACACGTTTCCGTAAATGAAAGGGTGAGCATAAGCAAATGAATCGAAGGAAACTGGTCAACTCAGAGATCACTTGTCATTGAGTATTCCGTAAAAGGAGGCCTCGACAGCAGAAAAGCTAAATTTAGAAAAGAGATCCTGTCAGCTTTTCCATTATTTATTGTATTCCACCTAAAATCAGCACACTTTTCGTAAATGAAAGAGTCAACACAAGCAAATGAATCAAAGGGAACTGGTCAACTCACCTGTCATTGAGTAATATTCCGTGAAAAGAGGTCTCAGCAGAGCCGAAGCGAAATAAGCCAGGACACGAAATATCCGAAACAGCTCATGCAAGAAGCAGTTCCAAAGAAGGAAGTTCCTCGCGCATGCACATCCGAAAACGGACTGCATTGCATGCAACACAATGTCTGCCGTGCACGTGCACAGCACGCGGCTACCACCCGTTGGTAGATCTAATACCGAGCACCTTACGTAGAAACTTACGTAGCCTAAGTGAAGTACCGAGCACCTTACGTAGAAACTTACGTAGCATAGCGGTGTCGTTTTTTCTGCCATGTGAACACAATAATAGAAAAGCTGACAGGATCGCTTTTCTAAACTAGGAGATCCCCCAGATAGGCGTTAGCCTTTGGGTAATCCTGACCTGAAATGAAGATTATTATATTATTAAGAGAACTGGAGCACAGAATTGAACTGCTGAAGTACACAGCTGACGAGAATAAAGACAGGAGCACAGAAATGAACGTGAGACAGTAGACGAAGTGGTGGTACCATCGGTGCATGCACCACGTCTACTTCGATACTTGATGACCCATGGTGTAATTTGTAAAGGTCAATTCGCATATGTACGCAACAAGTCTGTAACGGACCAACTTATCTTGCTAACCCAATCAATGGCTGTAAATATTGATAATGGCACTAATTTTGACCTGATATCTCTAGATTTCAGGAAAGCTTTCGACCGGGTCGACCACTCTATACTCCTAAAGAAATTCGGTAAGATTGCTACAGCTTTGTCAGTAAAATAGCTGAAGAGCTTCTTAGGGGATCGACAAATTGAAGTGAAGGTACATAGCACTAAATCGAAGAAGCGGAGCATCAACTGCGGAGTGCCTCAAGGTTCCCACCTTTCACCACTCCTATTCCTACTCTATATAAATGACCTGCCCACCGCTATGCAACATTGCACGCAATATCTATTTGCAGATGATGTCACCCTCCTACTGGCTTACAAACCTGAAGACACCCTCGCCAGTAGAGCGAACATGCAGTCTGATCTAGATGCATGTCAAACATGGGGCAGGAACAATGGAGGTGAATTCTCAGCAAGCAAGACATCCGTGCTGTGCCACAGAGCTATCAATTTTAGTGATTAAGATACCATATTTTTCGGAGTATAGTGCGCACCTTTGTATAACGCGCACCCCCAATCTTCATTGGGGGTGCGCACTTCAATCGTCATTAAAGTACATGCATTTCATATTCGGAGCATGGTGCGCACCTGCGATTTAGGGCCTAAAATAGCACATTTAAAGTGCGCACCAGTATACTCCGGAAAATACGGTACACGTGCCACGTGACGTGAAATATTGCCGTGGCAAGATTCGAGTTGAGTTATAACAGCAGAACATTTTCAACGCACAAATATAAAGTCTTCCAACAAACTCGATAAAACTACGGATACTCACACAAATGCCATCGGGATGACCATACGTAACTTCCAAAAAACCCACGTCAAGAAACTACATGCGTGGCAGTTTTTTATAACAAACAGCTTGAGCCTCATGCGGCATAGTCAACTTACGTAAAACACATCACATTCTTCGTGAATTGTTTTGAATTTTTCACGTACAAGTAAAAGTGCACGAACGCAAGAAGTTTAGCACGTGAAACGTTACCTATAATTATAGTATTTCTAGTTACTCGTAGTATGCTTAGGCACATTGTACATTGGATAAAAGATTCAGGGCCGTCAGTGCATGAGCTTTGCTAAGGTAGCGCTTAGAAGCTACTATGCCGACGTGCTATGTTCCCGACATGTGTAGACCACTCTAAGGCCGCGGTCACACCAAGCGCGATTCAGCCATTCAGCGGAAAAAAGCGCTTTTTGACGTCATCGTCGCTACGGAAACGGCTGAATTTTCGGCTTCAGCCTTTTTCAGCAGTCAGCCGTTTTCAAAGCGCTGAATGGGAGCGCTGAATGGATTCAGCCACTTTCAGCCATTCTGGCGCAGTGGCGGGAAAAATAAATTCGTTCAAAGCGCATCTTGGCATGATCTTGCAGCGCTTGCATCGTGTTCTGCCACCTTCCGGCTTTCGTTGTTGGTAAAACTTCTCTCCTTGCCTTTTTGTCGGTCATCATGGAATCCTGGACAGTAGCACTGGAGCGGCGACTACTGGAGCTTTGGTTTGAAACAAAAACCAAGTATGAGACCACTATGAAAAAAATACCAGAAAGAGAGCGTGGATCTTGGACGAACTGAAAAAGTGTGCTGGAGAAGGCGGACGGGAAGACAAGAGAAAATCATATTCAAAAATGAGCGGGAAGAAAAAAAACTCTAGCACACAAAAAAATCCAGCCGATTTCGCGAAGTGGTGTGACCAACCGCCCCATTCAGCACAAGCCTCTTTCAGCGCAAGCGGGAAACGGCTTGTTTGGTGTGACCGCGGCCTTAAGATAACTACTCAGAGAAGTGAAAACTTCAAATTACTATATTGCCATGAAGAAGTTGACGAAGACTAAGGACTATAAATGAAAGGCAAGCGCGATATCATTAGATGGACATGTTGAGTAAGCATGCGATTACTTGAACATACATAACGATACACCTGGGGGCATGTAGCATGAAATGCCGTGAACTGCGATAAAATTGAAAAAGTGCATATTATTAGAGTGGCATCTAGGTGCAGAGCAGAGATAACATTTTGTTGCCTTGTAAATTTATTGTAAATTCTACACTTTGAAAAAAATTATGAAAACGTTTAAAAAAAGGATACTAGTACTTGTACTGAACCACATGTTGTTGGTTTGACAGCATGAAACAAGGTGGAGGACACAGTGTTCGGAATCAGTGACCTTACTACAACCATCCACGGCTGGTAGAGCCCTGGTCCGAACTATAACAAGGTTTATCTAGTGCTAGTACTGTACTAGTATTGGAATATCTAATACTAGTACTGAACCGTAGCCGATGGTGTGTGGGGGTGTTGAATGTGCAACTCACCCTACTTTAGAATATTGGGTCCATCTCCTTGTTGTATACTCAAAAAACCTTTTGAAAAGTAAGTATGAGCTTTTGTAAATCGTAGCAGCCACCAAATCCATCTATTAGTAGGAAAATGGAACTAGGAAAACAGAACGCAATAGTGCTTGCTAGTAAATACAACGAATTTTTCGTTCATAGTGCATGGCTGGCAAATATGTTTTAAAAGCATCTGGCAATTGCGATGGAAGAGCAGTGGAGGACTTTATTTTACAAAGATAGCGGCCTCATAAATGCCAACATTCTCATTCGAATATCCCTCACTTGTGCAAATACGAATTTCCACTGGATCAGAGGTACTGGTGTCGAGTTGACGATGAAACCACGGCATATCTGTGTTGTCACAACAAGTCCCGCCAGCAGTACATTGACTGGTGTTGCTCCATGCATGGTTGGCTGGAGTGAATGTCCAAGGTCTCCAAGCAGGTCCATGGTCAGCGCAATAGTAGTGGCTACCAACAAACGATGGAGGTTGTGGCCCAGCTCTGGGACTACATGGACAGTGAGCAGCCTTGTCATTGTCATCAAAACTACCTGTGTATGTCCATAGGTGATGCCTTGGAGAACCATGTGTGATAGAGACACCGTCCATGTACCAGCTGTTCAACTGCGTATGGCTATTATGTGCGGAATAGAATGCGTCCAAAGATTTATCCTGAGATCAACATAAACAGACAGTACATGGTGTATAACATAAGTAATTCCCGCAGCTATGCCATGTCGTACCTTAATAGACAGCTGACCACCTTATTTGAAATATTCAAATAGGTCTTTCAAATATAGGGCACCTACAAGTTTCAAAGTGGGCACTATATTCAAATAGGGCAAATGTAAGATTATAACGTGAAGTAACTTGAAAGAATGTGTATGTTTTCAATTTCGACACATGTTACAAGGTGAGGACGCATAATGCTTCTGACCTAAACCATAGTCGGGTTGGCAGGGTCCCGGTCTTGCCATCATTTGAACCGTATTGGGAAAACCCCGGTTCGGACCCTCTTTACTCTACAGTCTATTTATTGAAAACTGGCACCCTAACTTTTTAGTGTCTCCCTCACATAGTTGTAGATATCGTGAAAACAGCAGTACATCATGCCTTGCGTGACCCGTGCAATTACTCCTAGCCACATTTGAGGCCAGAAAAGTGAAAGAACAGGGAAATAGAAATTCAGCCAAGTTTTACTAAATTGGGACAGGTATGCCATGGCAAAATGTATGGAGAAGCAGATCCCAAACCCAAATTTTTGAGATTTAAAGTGGGTTTTTGATCCTCAATTCGGCCCCAATTGGACTTTCAAAGGCCAGCGGGGCAGTTTCCGATGAATGGACTGTAGGGAAAGGTTGAATTTAGAATTTAATCTCTTCTTACTGAAAAAAAGATAACATTTTAAATTCAACCACCCTAGAGTAAAGATGGTCCGAACCGGGGTTTTCCCAATACGGTTCAAATGGTCGCAAGACCGGGACTCTGCCAACCGGATTATGGTTGTAGCCAGGATCACTATGCGTCCTCGCCTTGTAACATGCTGTCGAAATCGAAAACATGTCATACTATCAAGCAAGGCTTCTATATAATTATACCAATAATGTGTATGTATACGAAGTGTATCGGGGGAATGCATGCAGGGCAATAGTGCGTTTACGAATCCCATGTTCTGTCTGAAAAAAATAGGAGAAATGGAAAAGAACCGTAATTTCACGAAGGTTTTATTGGTGTACTAGCTGTGCTAGTACTTGTTAGCAACAATCCGAACTAGCCCACACACTGCACTGCATTGCTTTGTACTGCATTCAAGACGGACGTCATGCGCTTTGTTTTGCTGCGTAATCACAAATGGCACCAGCCCGTTTTGCTGAAAAGAAAAACAAATCTTGCTTGCCCTGTTGTGCTCTTCCAGACAACAGATCGTGCTTCAGCAGTGTTTCTTTTCTTTTCCTTTCGTAGCTTTGCTGCCAACCCGAGTCGGAGTGTCACCTCGACACTGTATTTCTTCAGTATGTCTGACCTAACTGTCGACACTTTGAAGGCAAGGCCTTGCCAAGCCCGCGGCGAGCTTTCTCAGCGCGGCTTGAATCCGAAAGGAAACTTAGTAAAAGTATTTTACATGACCGTTTGCTGGCACAGCTACCCCTTGGTAGTGAGGTCTGCTCTGGCCAGGAGAACCAGCAACATGACAGTGCGGACACGGCTCGCGAGCCCAGAAGCCCGACTGGCACCAATGCTTCCCCCGCCAGCTCAGGTGATGCGGGCTCAACTATCTCTGCGCTCTCGTACGAGATGAGGTGTAGTCGGCTTTGTCGGCTGCCATTATATTATTATCGGAGAGCATTGTGCCGCTCTTCACCCAAGACCAAGGCAATGCGGCTGCTGCCGCCACTACGCCAGGCCAAGCTCCTGTAACCCACCTGATCAGCCACCTGCACCAGCAGTGCCCAAGGCTGTGCAAGAACGTATCTTTCAAGGGGAGTTCGTAGATTTTTCAAGTTTGTTGCCTGAAATTCTTGCACACTTCCGGCCCAGCATTCCGGCTGGTGTACAGCCCGAATAACGATAGCCAGCTAAATATCGTTGAGTCGGATGACGCAAAGCAGGTGCGTCGCAAGGTTCACGATATACATGTAGCTACCCGGCTAGAGGCATGGACCACATACATGTCTGTTATCACGGCTGTTGCCCCACACCACACTGCTGAACTGATTGCTTACCAGCAGTTGATCGTGACTGCTAACCGCCAGTTCTTCCCAAGCTCGTGGCTAGAGTACGACCGCCAGCTGCGGATGCTCGCGGCCCAGTAACCAGGCACGAAGAGGTTGGAAACCATCGACGTGAACCTATGGCAGATAGCTTTCACAGGCCATGCACACTCAAAATGCGCTCAATGTAAGACGGTCCATCCAGGGGCGGTTTGTGTCCTTTTCGTCCCCAATCTCAATTCTCCAAGCCAGCAGCATTTACCTCCAGTGGTCGCATCCAAACCAGCGACGGCCAAGAAATCTGCCACAACTTCAATGGAGGTCGCTGTTATTTGTCGTCGTGCCGCTTCTCCCACACCTGCAGCCAGTGTGGCAAGGACCAACCATGCATCAGGTGCAACCGGCAGCAGTGCGGAGCCAATCGGCCGCTCCTAGCAGAATGGCTACTGAATCGCTTGACTCGGTACGTAGCTCCTTTCCTATACACTCTGCAGACACCACACTGCTAGCTGACCACTTTGCCTGCCTGTTACGTAACCACTCAGATCAATCATACGTTGCGTATGTTCTCCATGGCCTGCGCCATGGCTTTACTCTTGGATCTGCCGGCCAACACGACATTTCGATTTGCTCTAATAATCTGCCGTCGGCTTTCACTCACTCGGCATTTATATCTGAGCAATTAGCTGCTTCCTGCGCCCGCAGCGAGACCACAGACCCATTCCCGTCACCTCCATTTCAGTTCATGCGCCGCTCTGGTATTGGTGCCGTCCCCAAAAAAGAACGGCAAGCTGCGAATGATCCACCATCTGTCTAGTCGGGAAGGCACCGGCGCGGACGACAGCATTCCTGCCGAGCCGCTCTCTCTGCACTACGCGAGCATTGACAACGCGATCAACATCATCATGTCATGCCCACAGCCTGTGTATTTGTCCAAGCTCGATGTACGCAGTGCATTTCAGCAGATCCCAGTCCGCCGTCAGGACTTCGCTGGGAAGGCTCCTACTACTACGAGCGCTTTCTGCCTTTCGGCCTCCGCTCCAGCCCAGCTGTCTTTGACTCAGTAGCCAAAGCAGTCAACTGGATCATACAGCACGAGTTTGCTATAGATCACCGGCTTCATTACCGCGATGGCTTTCTCGATATCTCCACTGGTTTGCCTGCAGCCAACCAGCAACTCACCATCCCTCTCCGGGCATTCACGTATCTCGGCATTCCTCTTTGCTCCATCCCAGCTCGAAGGGTCATCACCATCATTGACCTTCCTTGGTATAGACTGCGAGCGCCGCGAAGCTCGGCTACGAGAGGACAAGCTGTTCGAGATGCGTGCGCCACTCATGGCTACTATCAGCGAGTGCAGCATCGGCCAACGTTAACTCGAGTCCCTCCTGGGCAAGCTCGCTTTTGCTGCCCGAGTCATCATTCCTGGACGCACATTCATGCGTGAACTATGATCAGTGTGCCCTGAACTGTGTCTGTGTATGTGAGTGCGGTGCGTAAAGCCCACATTGAGAATGGGTTTGCCGGCCCCTTAATAGATGCATGGCTTCTGAAGAGGGTGTTGAAGGGCATCCAGCGATGCCATGGAACGGCTGTACTCACCCCTCTCCTTCCTATCACTATGCCAATCCTGCGACACCTGACGGATGCACGCCGGAAAAGTAGTATCCTGAATGGCCATGACAAGTTGCTCTACCAAGCCGCCATGCTGCTCCTTTGGATTTCTTCGATGTGCCGAATGCAGAAATGGCATCACACGGGGCTGTACTAGCTCCCCTGGTGACGGACGCCTGCAACTCTTCCTGCTTTCATCCAAGACGGAAGCATTCGGTAAAGGCGTTACTAGTGACATTGGCCCGTCTGTACCGCCGTACTGCCCGGTCCATGCCAGGGTTAGCTACTCATTTGTCACTCGTCGCGAGGGACCGGAACAACTCTTGTTCGTACCCTCGAACGGACAGCAGCTGACCAGACAGTCATTCACAGTAACAGTACAGTCTCTTGTCGTTGTGGCCGGTGTACCATCCCAGTCGAACTACTCCGGGCATTCAGTCCACATTGGTGCAGCCACCACCGCTGCTATGGCTGGTGCCCCCGACTCCTTCGGTGGAAAGAGCGATGCGTGCCTATGCTACATCCGGAATAAAACAAGCGCTAAACGCCAGCTATCGTCCTGGCTTGCTGCCGTGTCATGGATGTCATGATCCCCGACTTGGGTGAGTAATAAGCTACAGAACTCTAACTGCGCAATGCTTGCCTTTGCTGACATTAATTGACCCTTGTTGTGCGTCAATAGTGCTTAGCTAACGGAGTGCTGGTTTCATGGGTCCACTCTCACAACTGGTGTAATCTAGCTATTTGCTGCGGCTCTGCCTTGCGCTATATTACATCCATTTAGCATTGCAGCTCTACGTTGAGCTAACACCAGCTCTACTTTAAGCTACCAGCAGCTCTACTTTGAGCTAACCGCAGCTCTACTTTGAGCTAACAACAGCTCTACTTTGAGCTAACAGCAGCTCTACTTCGAGCTAACAGCAGCTCTACCTTGAGCTAACAGCAGCTCTACCTTGAGCTAACAGCAGCTCTACTTTGAGCTAACAGCAGCTCTACTTTTAGCTAACAGCAGCTCTACTTTGAGCTAATCGCAGCTCCACTTTGAGCTAACAGCAGCTCTACTTTGAGCTAACCGGAGCTCTACTTTGAGCTAACCGCTGCTCTACTTTGAGCTAACAGCAGCTCTACTTTGAGCTAACCACAGCTCTACTTTGAGCTAACACCAGCTCTGCTCTGAGCTAACAGCAGCTCTGCCGTGAGCGACGTGCAGCTCTGCTCTGAACTAACAGCAGCTCTACTTTGAGCTTCAAACCAGTTGTTTCGAAACCAGCACTCCTCAATCCAAAGATGCCTCTTTGTTGACTTGTTTGTGTGAGGGATGGGGCTAATGAGATATCACGAAAAAATTCTAGTACATGTAGTGTCAGTTTTTTTCTTGGCGCTAGTACTTTTCAGTCTGTGTTGTCGTTCCGGGCGTGTCTTCCTTCAGCGTCGAGATGCCTTCAGGTTCTCTTTCCGGTTTTGAGGGAGCTGATCCTGTGCTGGTGACGGACAACGAGGTGAGTATAGCCGCGTCGGATATCGGATGGACGTCAAGTGTTATTAGAAAGTCGGACCGCAGATCGGTCAGAAGACCAAGATTCGTTTCGCTGGAGCTTTTCCAGAAGCTGGAGTTATCAGTAGGCCAGATGTTTGCTTCCAGCGAGAGTTTTATATCCAGATTCAATCAGGCGCCCAGGAGTTTGTCAAGCAGACCGATCCGTGGATATCGATGTTCGAGGGCGAAGATGAATCAGGCCCAGACGGCACGCCGTCTCTGGCAGATTATGTGACTCGCTCTCATTTTACCTGCCCTCCTCTACATTTCTAACGCATAATTCTCCTCCCTAAGATCAGCCTAAAGACATCTGCTGCCTGTACTAGATAAAAGGTACATTCGTACAGTGGCCAAACAGCCGGGGTACTCACACCGCCCCTTTGTACACCTGCAACGGACAGATCCCCGCGCTGGAAGGCGCTGAGCCATATTCATACCCTTAGCCGCTCATGGGAAGCGTACTGATCCACCAGCGATTGTTTCGTCTAACTGTGCGCACCACCCTTGTCAACGACCAACTCGCATGTGGTGTCCCTGCGGCACACGATCACTCAGGTGACTGTCGCCCCTTAGTTGCTGCCATCAAGCTGTGCAATGACTTGCCCCACGGGTTTTGTATTGCAAAACGCTTCCATCAGTTCGAATAATGTATCAACATGCTATTCCGAATATCACTAGCCATGCAACGACATGCGCAAAGTGCAAACCCATAATGGCAGTGAACGAGGTAGAACATCTTGTCGCATAGAAATTTCCAGGGCAGAGGCAATGTGTGGGGAGGCATATAATATATTCCGCTATAAAGACTTAGCTGGTGTGTCTTTAACACCTATTGGCATATTTGGCAGTGGATTGTTTTCGGTCAGGCTACCGCAACTCCCACTCCTGCTGTTAGACATTATAATCCAAGATAGAAAAGTATATACTTCGATGTTTCTGATCTGGACAGTCATCAGAAACTGATACTTTAGGTATAAAGCTGCAGGAAACTGGCAGGCAGATACTGAATTGTACAATAGCCTCTTCAATTACATGTACATCTATTCAAAAATTAATATAAATTCCGTCTTCTTTGTCGTATCTTCAGGGGTTTCTTCTCCAGGGAGTGCCAGATGAGCCCATCAACGCAAAGCTACTTTCTAAATCTGTACAAGTAGTAGAACTTGACTTAATCTTTCACTCACCCTGTACCCAGTGACAAATCCAATCACTTCACTGTACTCGGCAATAGGTGACAGGAACGATACACCATCACATCCACCATCACTGCTGACTCGTCTAGTGCACAGCTTGACTTGAAGGTTTTCAAATCTCATGGTACCATGACATTTGTCCATCTCTGTGGGGTTGATGTAAGCAATCAATGCCCAACCACCACCATAGTGATCCATATCACAGTAGACCTAGAGAACGAACAAAACACGAGTATAACACAATGGATAGAGTAGGGTACCAGGGTGGTCCTACAAGTATAGGTGGTGTGTGCATCGATAATTGTGGATTATACAAGAAACCATAGGTTTTGATGTATAATACTAACTGCATAAGGAGGTGAAGCGAAATGTAACACTGTAGTGGCCCCTTCGTTTTCTCTGCAAACCCGCTAGAAATACCAGAATTTTTTAACGCCAAACACCATAGCAACCACAGCCCTGGATAACCCCTGTGCCACTGCCTGCCTCCATTGGCCTTGTTTGAACTGCTCTGTAAATCCTGAGCACGCCCCAGTGGGGATGGGCCGGGAGGGACTACAGTGTTACATTTCGCTTCACCTCCTTATGCAATTAGGATTATACATCAACACCTATGGTTTCTTGTATAATCCACAATTGCACTGCAGAGGCTCCGCTTAATGTAACACTGTAGCTATTTGTCGCAGTAACAAACCGCCCACAAGCAACGTGAAGCGAAATGGTGACGAACAATACATCACCGCAGGCCAAGACCAGTGGAAAACAGGAATAAGTACCTGGCTAGAAAAATCACTATACATGTAGTGTCCACGGTCAGAATACCATCCGAAATAGACCAAATGGGAGTACAGGCGAGAGAAGCCAAAGAGAGAAAAAATGGGTTCACAACCCATCATGTCGTCATGCACTAGAACAAGACTAGATAAGAGTCCAGAATTACATGTACAACGTGAGTACTTGTGAGTTATTATTTGCAAAATCCAACTCATAGTCCGGGAACCGGACATAGCTAAGTCCGTCGAAGAACCGTGGCCGTGAACTGATCTGCCGCTGTCCGTGCAGGGCTCGCGTCCACTGGCAACAGATAGAAACGCCGAAAGGTAGATGCTGATGACCAATCGGCTTGGTGCAAGATATCCGCTAAGGATACCTCACCGGCATGCGCGGCCGATGTAGCGGCCCCACGCAACGAATGGGCTGAGAATATCGCTGTGTCAACTCCGGCCGCAGTCGAACCATCCTTTATCCACCTGGCTATAGAGGACGATGTCACCGGCTTGAAAGGCTGCCGCAGGCTGAGGAAAATCTGCGGATGAGCAGTCTGACGGTGAGGAGCTGTGCGCCTGACATACTCCTGGAAGCAGCTTGATACGCACAAGTGTGGCGTGCTGTCGAAGACAGGTCACACCACTGTGAGAAGGGACGCATCCCCTCGGCAACCAGGCCGACGCTGATTAGGCATGGAGGCATACGTCACACGAAGAGACCCATCACCCTCAGTAACATGGGAATGAAATCCAAACGATGCAAATCAGAAGAGCGCTTGGCTCCAGTCAGCGCCATGAGCAGAGCCAGCTTTATCGAAAGCAGGCGCAGAGAGAGGGTAGAATTGTCACCCAGACCATCCATCAAACTCAAGACATCGGAAACTTTCCAAGTATGGGAATACCGGGGTTGTGGAGGACGCTGTAGGAAGACGCCACGCATAAGCCGAACCACCAGGGGATGTTGGCCAACTGGCGCACCATCTAAGCCTGGCAATGTGGAGGACAGGGCAGAGCGATACACGTTCAAAGTGCGGTAACTTCGGCCCACGGCAAACATACCAGTTAGAAGCTGCAATACTTGTGACACAGGCGGCTGAAAGGAATCAATCCGCCGTTCAGAACACCAACTGTGCCAAGCTGTCCATGCTGACGAATAGGCCGAGTTGGTGGAGTCCCGCCATGATCCCAGGATGAGGGCAATAGTGCCTGATTAAAGGCCTGCCGCCGCATAGGATCGGGAGAGATGAGCCAGCCGGCTAGTTGGAGATGACCGCCCAGCACCATGGGATGAAGTTGATCCAGCGGTGAGGTGAGGAGCGCTGGATGGCCCGGTGATAGAACTGGACATGCTACCAGAAGATGGAGCAGGAGCGGATACCATGGCTGCGCATCCCACACTGGCGCCACCAGCAACACTCTGCACCCCGGGGACTGGCGCACTTTGTGCAGAACCCTCGGCAAGAGAGCGAAGGGTGGAAACATCCACATCCAGTGCTCCGGGTTGAGGCCCCCAGGACACAAAGCTATCTAACTAGGCATTGGTCCGTGACGCAAACAGGTCGATCGCCGGCTGCACCTGGAAGTGTTGGCAAAGGCCCCGGAACACTACTGGATCGAGCATCCAGTCACTGGAATTGACCACCTGACAGGACGGGGCATCGGCCGGGTTCTCCGCCGACGGTATGTACTCGGCTTGAACTGTCATGCCACGTTCCAGACACCACTCCCACACCTGGCAGGCCAGCTGGGACAAGTGCGGGGCATGTGTGCCGCCCATCTTGTTGAGGTAAGCCTGGCAAGTGGTATTGTCCACAAACAGGCGAACATGGAGCGGACGGTCCAACGCCACCCGGTGGAAGGCCCGAAGTGCCAGAAACGCCGCTGTCAACTCGAGGGCATTGATGTGCATGGAACGCTCTGCCCGAGTCCACCGGCCGCCCACCTGTTGATCCCTGCACACTGCTCCCCAGCCATCGAGGGAGCCATCCGAGAACACCACCAGATTGCAGGGTGGGCGAACCAATGACTTCCCGTTCCAGTCGGACAGTCGCTCTTTCCACCACTGTAAATCCAGCCTGGCATCGGGTGTCCACTGGACGGTCGCCCCGTAAGACTGGGACTCGCGAAGAGCTACGATCTTGAGCTCCTGCAGATGCCGGTAACGGAGCGGCGCTGTTAGCAGACCCGGAGAAAGGGATGTCAAGCGCCCCAACAGACAGGCTAACGTGCGAACAGTCACCCGTGGCTGCAGCAGAAGCTTGGTGCACTCCTGGCGAAGCTTCCGGATCTTCTCCGGAGGCACCCGCATCTCCATGGCACGAGAGTCCACTTCGAAGCCCAAGAATGAGATGTTCTGGGCAGGAGTACACATCGACTTCTTGAAGTTGATGAGAAATCCCAGTTGATGTAACAACTGAATTGCCCGGCGCAAGTGCTCCAGTGCTTCCGCCGCCGACGATGCAATAATCAGCAGGTCGTCCAGATAGATAATCAGGCGCACACCTTGGCTGCGCAGAGTCGCCATCGGAACCTTCATGAGCTTGGTGAACACCCTTGGCGCGCTGCTCAGGCCGAAAGGCAAGCACTGAAATTGGAACAGCTGACCAGACCACCGAAATCGGAGCAGTCTCCTGAAATCGTGGTGGATTGGCACCACGAAATAAGCATCCTTCAGGTCCAATTTCACCAGCCAGTCGTTGGGCTGAAGGAGATCGGGCAGCAGCTTCAATCCTTCCATCTTCAAGTGCTCGTAGACCACGAACCCGTTCAGCGCTTTCAAATTCACCACGGGACGTTCCTTGCCGGAATCCTTCTTTGGAATGGTGAAAATCTGGCCGACGAATTGATGAGGACACTCCTGCACTCGAGTGACGGCCCCTTTCAGCACCAATTCGTCCACTTCGAGCCACACAGCGAACGCTCTGTCCTCCTCCAGAGATAATTCCCTGGGCTTCGTGTATTGTGCGGGATCGGCCACGAGATCCAGCTTCAGGCCCCGCACCGCATCCAAGACCCACTGGTCTGACGTGATTGCCGACCGGGCTTGCGCAAAATGCCTCAAACGCCCAGCGACCGGAATTTGGGGGAGCGGGGGCAAGAGCGGAGCTCGCGCCAGCTCGTTGTGGGGTGGACTTATGGCCGCGAAGAGTACGTTGAGCTGGGAACGCGAACCATCCACCGGCAGGGTCATCAATGACCCTGACCGCGCCCCCGAAAGGGCCGATTGCCTCCACGCCCGTTTTTTGAACTGGCAGTGGCGGAAAAATGACCCCCTCGCCTATGGTTGTCATGGCGGGGAAATGAGCGGTGGCCCCCACAACGCCCACCAGCACTTGCTGGGTAATAATTATGGCCCCTGAAGTTGGAAGGCCGACTATCCTTGTATGCCGGCTTCGGCTTGGACGAGCCAGACGAGCGGCGAAAAGCGTCAATTTCTTGAGTCCGCTTCCTGTATTGTCTGGTAAAGTCTTCGCTGAACAACAAGTTCCCAGACGGGGCCATTTCCCGGAGGAGGCTGGACGGGCACTTGTTGGGGAGCTGCCCCGTCAGTCTTTGCCGCCGCATGACCGAGATGCTATTAGCGGCATCACCCACCAAAGACACTGCGACCTGCAGGAGCTGCGTGATCTCCTTGGCTGGTCGCCCAGCATCCACTGCGGCCCAAGCCGCCGAACCGGGCGCAAACGCGGCACATACCCTAGTTTGCACTGCCGCCATGGCTTTATCGGTCTTCCGGCCAAAGCCCAGCGACGGGAGGTCGCGGAAAAAATTATCCAGGTGAGGACACTGGGCCTCCTCCACCTCCGGAAATGGGCAGAGTTTTTTCAATTCTGCCTTCTGCTTGGAGGTGAGAGACCGCCGGGCATTAGCACGGAGGAATGCCGCTATATGCGCTGGTGGCTGCCAAGAGTCCTTTGCCCCTAAGCGCGACGGGTCAAAGACCTCGTCTCCATGGTCACGGTCAGGTGAGGAGTCTGTCCCACTAGAGGAGAAATCCTCGCATGAGGAGCATTACCGACTACTAGATCCGGAGTCCGTGGATGAGGACCGGAAGCGTCTGCCCCGCGAGCGTCGACGACGAGGAGAGATGGAAACTCTCTGCCTAGCTCCCCCGGCCAAGGCCCGGGAGTGGACGACATCGCCGGGTCCCGACCCGGACTCACTCGACGAACGACAACGTCATCGTTGAGATCGATCCCCAGCCCCGGTTCCATGCCCTCGTACAGAGGGAGCCCTATTATGGGGTTCCGGTGAAGCCATGGGGGATCGGTCACGATACCCCAAGCTCTGCGAGCGGGGCCTTATGCGGAAATCCCGTTGAGGGCGCATGCGCGGACTGCCTGCTCACGGCCTGGCCTTTTCCAGTCCCCGACGGTGTTTTTGATGGGAAAATGGCGATCGAGAACGGGAACGACAATGGCCGAACTCATTGTCGGAAACAAGGACGTTCAAACCTGGGGATTTGTCCCTGGCAAAACGTGCATGGCCATTGTACCCTACAGATTCGTCATCTGAGGCCCGGGGGCTCTCAGTGGCAACCCTGTGTGACTCAAGCCCTGAGGGTCTCGGAGGTGGTGTCTGCTGTGTGCCAATTTGTGAGCCGCCGGCAGTGGCGGAAGGACCTGTTTGTATACCGCCGGAGTGAGCGGGTGGACCATTTTGTATGCCGCTGGTAGGGGCGGAGGGACCGACTTGTATTCCGCTGGTTGGGGCGGAGGGACCATTTTGTATCCCGCCGGTGGGGGCGGATGCAGCTTGTAAAGCCAAACGCACCTCAGGGTGAGCCAACAACGAAATAAAATCCGAAGGGTCCATCGTCGTGAAAGCTACGCTAAGGGAAACTGAATCACAAAAGGAAAAGACACGTCAAAGTCACCTATGAAGAGAGAGAAAAACTTGCAAACCACTCTTTACTTGTAAAGAAAACAAGGCCAATGGAGGCAGACAGTGGCACAGGGGTTATCCAGGGCAGTGGTTGCTATGGTGTTTGGCGTTAAAAAATTCTGGTATTTCTAGCGGGTTTGCAGAGAAAACGAAGGGGCCACTACAGTGTTACATGAAGCGGAGCCTCTGTAGTGCAATCCAACATCAACTCAAGATCACATAGGACCTCTGTTTGCACATTAGGTTGTGAAGCCTGACTGTAGTATTGGCACAGATCTAGGGAAGAAGACGATGACCAGTCGATCATAGTTCTAGATTGCATGGACAAGGGCAAGAAGTTTACCTCCTGGAATGTTGTCTTCTTTGGGTCCAGCGGAACAATCTTGTACAGACCTGAAGATGGTATGGAGAAGAGTCATGGATAGCATTACTCCATGCTTGATTATCTAGGAATAGTAACTCACGAAACTTACACCTTTTCACTCTCAAAAGTTCGAAAGAAGAATGTAATACTACATTCCCCTTCCAAAGCACACACACACACAAACACACACACACAAGCACAAGCACACACACACAAACACACACAAGCACACACACACAAACACAAACACACACACACACACAAGCACACACACACAAACACACACAAGCACACACACACACAAACACACACACACACAAACACACACACACACACATACAAACACACACACAAACACACACACACAAACACACACACATACACACACAAGCACACACATACACACACACAAGCACACATACACAAAATAACCAAACATACACACACACACACACACAAACACACACACACACACACACACACACATACACACACACACACACACACACAGTAAGATGGGGGGGGGGGGCGAAGGACATTTTGCCAAACTATATTTAGGCTGGGAAATGCCACAGATTTGAGAAAAGTACCGGCTGGAGCTGTAGATTTAGGGATTTATGCATGGTTTTCTATTTTGAAGTACATGTTTTCCACGTGGCTTGATTATAATTGGATAAAACAGAGAGGTTCCAGGCTGTCCAAGAGAGTGCTCAATACCGAGAGGTAGAGCTGGTTCAAACAATAGGAGGACAGAGAAAGTATTTTATAATTGGATAAACGTTGAATAAGAACAAAGATTTTAATGACTATCATTTGAACATTGTAGAACAATGCTAGGCTTCACCTTGAGCCCCTACATTCTTCGGCGCCCGATTTCACTGTATGCATACACGCATGCAGAAATAGCCACTTACACATACAGAGACGCCAATAAGAAAGGGTTTGCTCCCCACACCGGAGATCTCGCTATTCCGCCGACTTTACTTGACACTTGACTCTTCAGGCACAATCTTCCTCAGCCTACTCAAGCTCAACTGATGAGGGGTGAATTCCCCGAAACACTGTGTATTGAGCAGGGAGTGGTGCTTTCTTGCAGGTTTGCCGAGTCGAAGGTTCGATGGACTTCTCGTGTCCTCTGCATGGCAGTCGTGAGTCAGTCAAGTGTCAAGTAAAGTCGGAGGAATAGCGCGAGCTCCGGTGTGGGGAGCAAACCCTTTCTTACAAATCATCGCCAAAGTCGCAACCACTACTTAGAGACACCAATGTTTAATTTTTAGCAAAGAAAAAGAAGCAAGGAACTACAAGTTACGCTATAATGTCCACTAACATCACCAGTTACTTGAAAATCACCTCATGCGATAACACTACACACAACTGACCAACACTACATATGTTCCACAAGCAACTCAGGTCTAGCACGTCTTGGGTGTGCGCTCCAACAGTGGTAGTTCCTTGGTCCTTCTTCTTTAATATAAATTTAGCATTGGCTCTCCACGTGTCTATCCTAGATACCGATGTCTACGAATATCCCTCAGCCATGTGGGATCTTACCTGATGTTGCTGTGTAGTTTGAGAGTTGCTGAATTTCCTTACATGAACTAGCGAGTTTGAGAGAGTTCTTCTTCACCTATCGAAAAGCAGATAACCCAGCCACGAGTTCCACACATTTGAACAATCCCATCTGAGTTCTCAACCGGCAATTGATATTTTTTTTAAATTATAATAGGTTTTTCATTTGACCCGACGACACCACACGGCGCTTGCAGACCACAGCACGAACAGTTCACCAGTCACACTCCACGGAACCAAGTAGTATTACTCCTGACAAGTCTTGTTTCGTTCCATAAAGACTGTTCGTGCTGTGGTCCGAGTGCAAGCGTCGTGTGGCCTCGTCGGGTAAAATGAAAACCTATTCCTACTATTTGACGAACCTATTGAAGATGGCAACAAAGAATTGATATTTTTGTCCACGAAAGTTGTGTGACAGATCCTAAATATAAATAGCTGACGAGGACACAACAGTCGTAAAATAGCAATGAATAAAACGAATTGTGCACTCATAACCATGCATAAAACAATGAAAAATTTCCAGAACGTTTTCTCGTGACTATCATCAGTGGAACATCTTCACATGGAAAGAATCACTAAAACAACCAGTTAGCCCAGGCCCACGCGTTAGCCCAGGCCCAACACAGAGGCCTGCGGGCACACCTCCGCATACACACATGTGCAGGCACACACACATTCATCTGCACAAACATTATTCCAGACACTCTCATGCCCCGTAGGTGCGTACAACAATGTACCCACGCGCGTCCTCACAAGCAATTGACACATAGGGTTGGGGTTTGCCACGAATTCATTTTGGTTAACCCTTTGTGGACGGACTGTACGAGTTTAGTAATAAGATCGAAACCTCGTAACTTCGTAACTCCATCGTTTCTTGAGCAAATTCCACAATCGAAAGGTCTACGTGGTAGCGGGAACTCCAAGCTGTCCAATGCAACAATCGCCGAAGAGTTACAATGTTGGACGCCAGAGATATCGCACGCCGTATTCTTACCTCGGCAAATTCAAATTTTTGATCGATCATTTCGCCATTTTGGGGGAAAATCCCTTTTCGTGTGCTCTTTGAGCGACTGAGCACATGATAATGACGTAGCCGGCTGAAGTTTGAATCGTCTCAAACAGATTTGAGCGTTCTGCGATGATGGAGAGTGGAATGGCGTTGATGGGACGAATTTGCTTGCATATCAGGCTTGGAGACGACTTTGCTGTGTTACCGCGCCTGATTTGTGGCGGCTGGATAATGGAGATTGGTACCCTGACGTAGCTCTCGCCAAGAGCTTTCCAATGAGCCCTTGATTGTGAAAATCAAGTGAAGGACACCAAAGTTATGACATGGAAAAGTTGAAAATTGTACTGACATTTTGTAATTCTGGTGCATACTGTGCTAGTAATCCGTCCATAAAGGGTTAAAAATGCTACATAATAGGCTTGGTGAGGGTCTATAAATTAGTACGTGATGATAGACCGGTTCCAAGAAAGCAAACGCCAATTGTCGCGCCATACCATCAAATTCGATCGTCAGTGGTCCAGACTGCCCGCCTGGGGCAGACACATGAATGGCCCACCGAGGGCTAGCGTGCTGCTGCCCACCGTGGGACGATGACACGAGTGGCTGGCGAGGCCAGCAGCCAGCCTGCTGAGGGTAAAGTAATTCTGCCTGCCGTGGGCCATTAGCATACTGCCCACCGAGGGCGCACAAATGGCCGACTTGGCCAGCAACCTGCTCGCTGCGGGCGCATCAACGGCCGCCGAGGCCAACAACTTACCCATCGAGGATTAAAGCATGTAGCCCAACCGAGGGCGCATGAATAAGCATATAACCCAACTGAGGGCGCACGGATAAGCATATACAAGCAGCCCGACCGAGGGCGCATGAATAAGCATATAACCCAACTGAGGGCGCACGAACGGCCGCCAAGGCCAGCAACCTGCCTACCGAAGACTGAAGCATACAGCCCACCCAAGGGCGCACAACTACTGTAGAGGCCAATAGCCTGCCCACCGAGGGCTAAAGCAAACTTCCCGCCAAGGACAAAGCGTAGTACCCACCGAGGGCTAATGCATGCTACCCACCGTGGGCCGATCATATACTACCCACTGAGGGCTGAATCATACTACCTATTGAGGAAACAAACAGCCACCGAGGCCGACAACCTGCTCGCCATGCGCAAAAGCATACTACCCGCTGGGGCAGATCTCATACTACCCAGTGACAGCAAACGAACGACCACCGAGGCCAAGAACTCACAGAACTGCCAGGCATGAGGCGTCACACCACACGCATACAATATGATGCCCTCTGGCACCCAAAAAGGATATTGAACCTAGAAGCCATGGCTCCCGCACTACGGAAGGTGTATTTGTACCCTCAGCATTATTCCTATGCATAATCATATGATGCCGCCGCTACATCATCAATTGTTCTGAACCACGCGCAAGCTGGGGATCCAAGCCATCCAGTACTTTCCTCATGCGGGATTTATGTAAATGGGACGCATGATAGCTGTCTGCGCAAACTCGCACATCATTGCCGGGAGCCTTTGAGCACTTTGCATTTGTCGGCCCACGATTCCCCAGAAAGATAAGGATCCAGGTAACACCGAACGAGGCAACGGTAGTAGACCGAAGTTCAATCCAGGACAGGGTGGGTCGCCCACTCTAGCAGCCAGCATGCTGCAGTCCTGTCCAGGCAATGTTTTGTGCGCAGCGTCCGGATATACCACGCATTATCACCATACTGAAGTGCCAAAGATTTGAGGGGGAGGGGGGGGGGGGGTGCCAGTGAGCCAAAGAGTTGAAGCGGGCGCCCGCCGCCCGAATGAATTGTTTATGGGGTGCTCAATGCACAAATCGTCGATCGATTCTCACCACGATTGCCCCTCTGACAATCTGCTGGTTAGGCGCTGGCATGCAGGGGCATCTCCGACGACTACGAGAAATCGTAGTTAGGAGTGATACTTGCGACATCAAACAATTATTTGTGAGAGTATGTTCTCTCTACCGTCTTCTGCCCTCAGCTGCCGTCAGCATTGCGCGGGGCGATGCGCTCGATCTCTGACGCGACTGGTGCTGGCGCATGGCGGAGTGCTGCTAGCGGAACATGTGCCTTGATCGGAAAGGCACAGGGTGGAGCCTGAGAGCAATATCATGATGCTCCGCAAAATGTTCCGCGTGAAGATACTGGGACCGGAAAACGGCTGGGTTGTTGGCCAGCCATGCGACAGAATCAAAAGCTGTAGCTAAACGACAATGCCGAGAGAGCTAGAAACTAACTGGACAAACTGACGGAAAAGCTAAAACTGCATGTTGACACATCAAGAAATCAACTCGGCAAAGGAACCACCTTCACATCCCGACAGTTCAAGACCTTGAAGAAGACACGTCTTCCGATACGACACCATAACAGAGTGTCCGTAAAATTGTGCGAGCTTGCAATTCGTGTAGGGACAGCCACGTGACACACACTCACAGCAACATGTTAGTATTGCGCGTGTGCCAGGCCCAACTAGACTTTGCTTCGCATGCGTTAAGCCCACATAATCATTATTTTATAGCTAGAACAATTTGACAAGGAGTGTGAGAATGCAGCAGCTCGCGGTTATGCATAGCGCGGGTAGTGTGAAGTTATGCAGGGAATCTGAGAATGTCAGCAGTAGATGAATGTGTCAGTTGTGTGTGTGCGTATGTGCGTGTGAATGTGAGTGTGCATCGTGGAAAATGTTCACAATTGTTTTATACATGGTTATGAGTGCACAATCAGTTTTATTCATTGGTATCTTAGATCCTAAATGGGAAATAGAATCTTTGTTTAAGAAAATGATATACGAAGTCATTCGCAGACGGAGAAAAACATTGAGGTAATTTGAACATGTTCTCGTGGCTATCTTCAGGAAATAGTGGCCTCACTGAATTAACTTAAAAAGAAAGGCAAACAAGAGAAAAAAATGTAAAAATGGAGACACTCAATGCCGTATCATAGCAACTGGGTTTATCATTGTCTCTTCTCTATATAAATCCTGTCACTTCGTCACCTATTTCTTTAGAAACTTCGAGTTTAAATAGAAAAGTACATATACATGTAAGTTACTAGTTACCCCTAACAGTCTACTAAGGTTACCAGATAATATACAGTCAGACAGTGCGACCACAAAGCACAAGGCTGGCAAGGATATTGAGACATTCAACGACCTGAAACCCACATGCAGTTCCAACACAGCTACGCGCCTTCCAAGTTCGAAGGCTGTTGGTTTGCGCTTGGGAGGATCAAAGCCATATTGCGGCACTATCTGACTGTATATTATCTCGTTATCTTGGTGCACTGTTAGGCATAACTAGTAACTTATAGGTTCTTTTCTTTTTTTAAATAATTTTAAAATAATTAATACCGGCTCAACATCCGAGTTTTACTAAAAATTGAGTTCATTAAATTGTCTGATCTGTTTTCTTCTAGACTCATCGGGACATGATAAAACATGATGAAATTTTTTATTTTTAGCATGTTTCCTGGAAGATATTATGTTTCCGTTTGAAATATGTTTATCAGCTGATAACTAGGTGCTCATTAAACGTGGTCCATGTCTGAGTGGCCAGAAGTTTACCTTGTCCCTGATGTCACCGTACTGGCTGTCCAATCTTGCCACCTGGTCATTTAGCGTCTGCTCCATTTTCTGAAGTACACGTGACACCGTGTCTGCGGTTCTACTAGCTGACTGAGCAAACTTAGTCTCTATTGTATTCAGACGTAGAGTAAGGTCAGCCAGTGATGACGTGATGTTGGCCAATTCGCCTGAGAGAAAACAAGATTCCATGGAGCCATTGGTTTCATTCAGGAGATATTACGGAGGATTAGCAAGACGAAATTCGCGTTCGCATTCGCTCTCCAAGGAAAGTCGAACTCAGTGACGGAATTCGCGTTATGAGAAGGACTAGCAAACAGAATTTGCACATGCATGACGACATTGGCGTTGTCACGGCGTACATTGTGTACAGACAGTACAGCGTGGTAAATTTATGACTGCCCTGACACGAATCCGCAATTCGTATTCCGACTACTTTTCCGAACGAAAAATGCGAAAGTTCGCAATCCAGTTCGCGAACTGAAAAATGTTTGCGAACGCGAACGCGAACTTCATCTTGCTAATCCTCCGTACTTATACAACCCAGGATGAAAACCTTCCAAATGAAATATCCCCTTCTTTGCCACTTTGCTTTCAATGCTAAAAGAGATCACACAACACAAATACTGGTAATCTATTCAGCCGATAGCTTTGGAGTGACAATCAGGGACACAACTAATGGATACACTAGCATACACAATACGTAGGTTTTCAAGTTTGTGAATCGAGGAAAATCACTGCTTGCCTAAACGTTGTATTGTATCAGTGAGATACAAAAGCATAGCACACATACACACATATACACATACACACACACATACACACACGCATACACACACATACACATACACACACATACACACACATACACACATACACACACACATACACACACACACACACATACACACACACACACCCACACACACATACTAACACACACACACACACACACACACACACATACAAACACACACACATACATACAGACACACACAAACAAACACACACACACTCTCTCTCTTCCCTCCCTCCCTTCACCATCCTTCCTTTGTGCCTCCCTCTCTTTCACACACATACACACACAAACACACAAATATACACACACACATACACACACACACTCTCTCTCTCCCTCTCTCATTCTCTCACTCCCTCTCTCTCTCTCTCTCTCTCTCTCTCTCATTCTCTTTCTCTCCATCTTTTGTTCTCTCCCGTTCTCTTTCTGTCCACCTCTTGTTCTCTCTCTATCTCTCTCTATTTCTCTCTCTCTCTCTCTATCTCTCTCTCTCTGTCTCTCTGTCTCACCGTCTCTCTGCCTTTTGTTGATACTTGCAAATCTTGCATGGCAAACACAACACGTTCAATTGCGTGGGAACTGGTTTGGGAAAATGTAGTTGCTGGGCATTTTGAATGGCATACATTCACCTACAAATAGGACAGAGTTGAGCTAACACAAGAACTTATTGAAAGCTCCCTCCAGTAGAACTATGTTGCAGTCTCTTCTTATCAATGCACTCCGAGACAAGATAATCGATACTTACTTATTTCGCAGTTCTTGCCACCAAACAATGGTTTACACCGACACTCAAAGGCATGTGGGCCGCGACTGTGACAATGTCCACCATTTTGACATGGACGATGCGTTCTGCAAAACGACACAGCTGGACAGTAAAACGCATGCATGGATAGAGATAAGATACGATGGCAGCGCAGAATCCCCGAACATTGCCTATGGTATGACTCACCGAGTTCACACTGTTGTCCGGAATATCCAGGTCTACATTGACACTGGTATTGCTTCCGCTGATCAGTGTTACCATCAACACTAGCATATACACATCTACCACCGCGATGGCATGGAGATGGATGTCCACACTGACCACCTGGATCAGGATACAGAGCATTGTAACATGTGACACACAAACAACACAAAATACCACTGAAAAACTAAAGCTAAAAAAGAACGCAGTTCATCCTGGGGTGATTGCACAGACAAGGAATCCACCTTGAATTATCAACCTTTTCTGGAGCACATTACATGATCCAGTGTCTGGGAACTGTGATCCAGTGCATCAGCACCAGAACACAACAAACGAATTGTCACAAATTGGTTTGACCGAATTTGATAGATAATGAAAGCTCTTTTCCTCCTGGTCATCTTCTTCATGGTCCCAGAACGTATGTATGCCCATAGCCAGCAATCGCATGTCACCACGTACTTTGAAAATCAACATAATTTTTCGAGTCGACCTTTTTTTCCGGATCACTTTTCAACGAGGACGAAGCAAAGTCGGCCGAACGAAGCCTAGAGGAAGAAAATCACGCTCTTCACTTCACCATCACGATACTGACATAGAAACGAGATGAAACAACTAAAAAATCCACAAGAAAACTGTACGGCCATCATCGCGCTGACTTTGGTCTGAGAATTTCTATCACGATCAAAAATGTACGAGGAGCACTCAAATATAAGCCAAAGACGTACCTTTATCGCTCTCTACTCCTTTTTCAAGGCACAAAAGTCGAGTCTCCACTTTCAAACCAGGAACCAGACATACCAGTGGTCCTTTTCAGCTGCCCCACGAGCGCAGGAAATGTTCACCAAGGGGCGCAGAGCAGCATCCATTCCAGAAAAAGAGCTAAAATACGAGTGAGACTGCATGCCTGAGTACATGAGTACATGTATGAGTACATGCAGAAAATAGTCAATTTCAGCGTTTCTGCTCCAAACAGCAACTAGCTTCGGCTAGAAACAAAGATTACACCAAAGGATCAAACAACAACCATTTTCTGCAGTTTTTTTGCAGATGGCTTCCTTGTGCTTGGCCCAGCACGCCAAAAATCACACCTCGGAGGAGTACAAAAATTACATCTCTCAGATGTCCTCGATTGCTGGCCATGCCACAACCACACTTCTTATTATCGTCAGTGTCTGGAGATACGTTGATTTTGTAGAAGAAAAAAAACTGCACATACACCACAAGGACACCTCTAGGCTCACCAACACTTTCCCTATCGTGCTCCAGTTAAAGCATCAAGACAGCACACAGAAAAATCGTTGTTAAAACTACGACTCAAACTGCAAAGAACTCGCGGCATTCAAAAACGTCAAGTGAAATCCCATTGCATGACTTGAAAGTCTCAAAAATATACTTAAACAGAAACTGCGAAATGAGTTCAGATCAAAGCCCGCTTTCAATTTGGCACCTCATTTTTACGTGTCGTAGCGGCAAAAACACTGTTGGAATAGCCATTCGAGGACCTTAATGATGACAATTAACGAGAGAGCTTGGAAGCTCAGGGCCCTACGCTATGCTTTTATGCTTTTTTGCCTAGCTCATCGTACATGTTATAAGAACTGAGGCAAAAGTATTTGCAGAATTTATTGCGGATTGTTATTTCTGTAATAATCATCAGGTTTGTAAATCAACAAAATTTGGCCGATGAGAAATAGAAACCTCTCTATTAGAGAGGTTAAGATGCACGTTATTTCCGACGTGACGCGCAATTTCACGTAAAATTTGAAATCGATCGGTATTTTTGCTCTGACATGCATCCATTGCTCAATCATGCATCATTTGCCTGTATGACAAACTTTGGCCTGCGATTTACTTTGGCCGGTTGGTACCAAGCGGTGAAATCAGCGAAATTAAATCGCCAGCGAAAATTAGTTGATTTTAATACAGTAATCGGATTTTCTGGCCTTTTTGTAGTAATACATGTACATTGACCTGTTGAGCCAATGACGACGCCGAATGCATGGTTGCCTGTGGAGCACATTACATAACTTAGCAGTCTCCTAAAATACATATCCTGTCCGACGGCAAAAGAGTCTGCAGATTAAGTTTTTCTGCCCGTCGACCGGATGTCTGCGACGCGAAAGTTCAGCTCGCGTTATTTGGCTCGCACGTCGAAAAATCAACGCGAGTGACCTGCTGCTCACGTGGAAATTTGGACATTACATAACTTTACATTCTACTATAATACGTATCCTGTCCGACGGCAAAAGAGGCTGCAGATTTAGTTTTTCTGCGCGTCGACGGGATGTCTGTCCTGACGTTCACTGGGACCGGCGCTGACTCTGCCGATCACGGGCGTTCTGGACTCAACGGGATGTCTGTCCTGACATTCCCTGGGACCGGCTTAGACTCTGCCGATCACGGGCGTTCTGGACTCAACGGGATGTCTGTCCTGACGTTGCCTGGGACCGGCGGACTCTGCCGATCACGGGGGTTCTGGAGTCGACGGGATCTCTCTTCCGACGTTTCCTGTGACCGGCGCTGAATCACTCGTTCACGCTTATTTTGGAGACGACGGGATCTCTCTTCCAAAGTACATGTATGTTTATGCTGACGCATCCTATCACCTATTCGGCGTTTATTCTAATTTAATTTCCTCCTCGTCTCCCTATTTCTTTCCAAATCTCCCTCTACATCAGGGAGTCGTATACATAATACGACGAATATTGGTACGGTACGGGACAGATACAGGAGCCCGCAAATATTGTGCACAGCTGTTATGTACAATCCTGTAGAGCCTTTGTAGTCACAGATACGGGACAGATACGGGACAGATACGGGATAGCTCCAGCCGTGACACAAACAAACAAACAAACAAACACACAAACACCAAATTAAAGCTGTGTGGACCCTGGCTAGCGCCAGACGTTACTGAAGTAACGTCTTCTGCATAGCTACGGGAATAATCTATTTATGGCGAGAGGATATTTCAAAAGCGATGCGCCAATAGCAATTTTAGAATCGCGAACAAGGCGAGGTAAATTAACATGTCTAACGGCTTCATTGCACTTGGAAGAACAAATGAATCACGCAAGTTGACTAAGGCCGTGATGGACAATCGATATTGCATTCAAGAATTATCGCTGCCATTGTACAGACAACCATCCAGTGCGCACGATATGCTTACTGCACACAAAGTGTAGCTCGAGTATACTCGTCAGATTGGACGCAATGCATGGCGAATATACTCGTCATAGAAGTAGTATCAACACGGTCACATAATTTGAGGTGATAGTTCTAGAATTACATTTTCAACAGTCATTCTATCATAGTCTGAGAGAATTTGACTTGAACTTACTTCCACACTGCGTAAACCTGGCAGACCTTTCCTGTCCGCCAAGAATAGCAGACAGCAACAGTGGATTAGTCTGTGGCAGGGATGCTTCATCAACTGGCGTTTCAAATGCTTGCAGTAAATTTTCGTAATTCACCAGCTTCTCAGCAGAGTCACTTGGGAATGAATTACGTAACCAGTGTCCCATACATGTACCTGCAGTGAGAGTGAATGACAAAAAAATGATGTCATGCATGTACCTGCAGTGAGAGTGAATGACAAAAAATGATGTCATGCATGTACCTGCAGTGAGAGTGAATGACAAAAACATGATGTCATGCATGTACCTGCAGTGACAGTGAATGACAAAAACATGATGTCATGCATATAGCTGCAGTGACAGTGAATAACAAAAACATGATGTCATGCATGTACCTGCAGTGAGAGTGAATGACAAAAACATGATGTCATGCAAGTTCCTGTGCTGAGTAAGCTTTCCCCAAATCGGCCGGCCGAAAAATTCGCCGAAAACAAGACTTGTCGAAAAATCGCTAAGCTTCTTTTGCCGATATTGGAGGATTCCATTGAGAATCGCCGAAAATCTTCCAAAAGTTGGTGCGAAGTGCGTTTACGAACGAATGATGTTGGTGCAAGCATGACCCCTATGATGTTGGTGCAAGCATGACCCCTATGATGTTGGTGCAAGCATGACCCCTATGATGTTGGTGCAAGCATGACCGCTCGAGCTCTCTACTTCAGTACTTGTAGTACATGTACTAGTGTGTTGAGGTCATGTGACTCGTGTCCTTTGACCTCCTCTCAAACGAACATTAGCCATTAGGAAGATTGTGACTAGTAAAATCCCCAAATCGGCCGGCCGAAATATTCGCCGAAAACTAGGTTTATCGAAAAATCGCTAAGGTTTTCGCCGATTTTTGGAGGGTTCCTTTCAGAGTCGCTGACAATCTATCAAATCTTCCAAAATCTCACCAATTTTGAAGCCAATACTAGTACTGTAAAATTAAATTAAATACAGCTATGTATGCCAACAACCCTTTTAGCCGATTTTCCGGTAAAATCCACTTTTGCAGCATATTTTCGAACAATCAGCGGATTTGCAGCCGAATCTGATTTATTTTTGAGCCGAGCGAAAAGTCAAATAGGTGATTTTGGGGAAAGCATGAATTGAATTGAAGCATTGCTGTATTCTTCCCAGGTTTAGCATAAAACGAGAGAGTCTTCGCGAATGATGCTACCATGAGAATATTGATAACATGCCTGTGTTAAAAGTTAACAGCAACATCTCTTTACTCTGCACAGCGCTGACCCATAGCCAATAGCAAAACGCCCTTTTGTGTTTCAGGTAGAATCTTTTTCGCGTGAAGACCTGTCAACTCTATCCAGGAACTAGGAATGTGTTCGACAAACCCGGAACTCTGCACTATCTAGTGGTCATAAACCGTACTACTGGACTTATCACAAACAAACACAGACGACAGTCACCATGACGACAGTCACCATGACGACAGTCACCATGACGACAGTCACCATGACGACAGTCACCATGACGACAGTCACCATGGCTCAGGATAGGGTTCAGTATAGCCAGGAGTCCATAACATACCCCAGAGTACACAGGACCTGGTTAAAAACGGAACTAACTCAAAAGTAGCGACAAATTAATCTTAACCGTCCACCTCTTCACACTATGGAACATTCACCCAAGAACAAACTCCCTCGCTACGGTGTGGTGTTGTGAATGTGGGCCAAGAGGGCGGTTGACAGTTAAGATGGAACTACGCTGAAGTATGTTTCATTTCTCTTGTCCGAGGTTTGTTGGATAACCATGAAACTCTCAGTAACAACATACATCAACCTAGTTTCATTGCTAACTTGTGTTTAGACTCTGACCTCGTCGTATTCAGCACTTTTCAAAGGACAATTTAGCGGCATAGCCTGTAACACCCCAGAGTACGGAACTCCACAGTCAGTGGTTTCCTGAGAAACTTTCATGTATGTGAAAAGAGTTTAAGGATTGCAATAAACAAACCAGCTGAGACGACATTTTACGAAGGCCTTATTGAGATGTCACGAACAAATTTTATAGAACCACTTTCCCTTGAATTTGTTCGTGACATCTCAATAAAGCCTTGGTATTTTGTTCACAGAACCAGCAATCCTAAAATTTCAAGCTGGCGAAATTTATCATTCAATTTGCTGTGTACAGGTGTTTGCAGATGGATACTAACGTTAGACTGACTAAGATGCTGGACATACCAAACTCCCTGCCCAATGCAATTTCCCGCCAACCTCATTCACAAGACCACAGCATGACTCTGTTGTAGTGAATACAGGCACCAGGTCCTCCATACGGCTGCTCTCATCAACATCACTGATGAACTCTGCCGGATCAAAGCAGCAGCTAGATTATTTGATGCCAGAGTCCACTCCACATACCGTGATGTCGCGTATAAAAGCACGTGCTTCCGGCCGTATAAGCCGGGGTTCAAACCATGTTTCTATTCAAGACATAATTCTATGGCAACATCATCAGTCTGCACTGTGCAGTGCATACTGCCACGCAGGTACGTGCACATGTACTTTGCGGAGAGCAACTTCTATTCAAACCATGTTTCTGTGTCACAGCGCGCTTCAACAAATCGGCTTCTATTCGAGTCTTGCTTCTGTATAGGTCATGCTTTTATATGCGCCACTCCAAACATCACCATAACTTGGAATGAAGCTACTGGTGTGGTCAAAGACGTTCTCAGGGGAAGTGCACAACTTGTACAGTAGTGGGGAGTTTCGAATAAACTATGTGACTATCAAGATGTACTAATAGACGGCATAATTTTGTTGGTGACTAGCGAATGCAGTGCGGAGCTGAGAGATACAGACAAGTGTGGTACAATCATGTACATGTACCTCCATTCTTATGGAATTACGGTTAATTTCATGTTCATGCTATGTGTGCTCAGGTACGTAAAAAGCAAAACAGAATCCTGTCATGGATGTCAGCAAGAGTACAATCATACACACCACCACCCCCCCCCCCCCAGAGTGTCCAACGCCTGATCCAGCTCTGCAAAAGAGTCTTGGCCGAGCATGCTCCGACTCAGATCTGCTGATGTCATGCGTAGGTGTACGCTTCACACCAGCGCAAGGTTGGTCTCCAGGCAGGGCACCGTTGTTTATGATCCGAGAGTCCCCCTGACGCAAAGATCCTACGCAGACTGAGAGCTGGATCAGGCGTTGCACAATCTGCGGGTTGTTCTACTCTTGATTTGAGACTACGTAGCTGGCCCTCTCTGATAGGCACTAGAATCCTCGGTAGCATGAGCAGAGGACAGTCAGTGGCTGATTTGACTTACCGACGGAAGCCGTCGTCGCGTTCAAGCACTGCCCATTCCAGGCCATGATCAGCAGAAAGGCCAGCGGCAACAAATCGGCAGGTGCACGAAACCTCCCACTCGGCGCCATTCCTCCGCTATAGCACCGTGGTCCAGCAATAATACTAAAAGGGTTAGACGGATTAGGGTCCTTCTTGCAAGAGAACTGATAGAAACAGTGGCGCTAGTCACAAATCGACGTTCCTGCAGTAAAGCTTGCTTTTATTTCTCATTCAAACAAAAAATCATTGCGTAGGTCTACCGCGAACAGATCGGGCCCCACTCACAAGTCTTGACGGTGGGACACTGCGGGGCAGAGTCTGTCACGAAACACTCACACTCACGGCTCAGGCCTGGACAGTTGGCGCTGATCGTGCGATCGCGACCTCCACACACTTTGGACTGTACTGTAGTCTGTAGTCTGTAGTCTGTAGACTGTGGTCTGTACTGAAGTTCTACAGCTCGGCCTGGGCGGCTACACGTAGGACTAGCTATGATAGGCCAGGGGCCATAGCGCCACCCGACTGGGAGTATCCCCATAATCCGGATGTAACTGAGCATGGACGATTCAGACTACGGCCAAAATCATGTCTGAACTTGAAATTCCATGGTGCTGCATGCAGTCGTGTTTCAAAATTAATAATTATGCTGATTTGCAGCCGAATCTGATGTATTTTTGAGCCGAGGGAAAAGCCGAATAAGTAGGCGAATTTGGGGAAAGCCTGGCGCAATTTCCAGCTCTACAGACGTGCCGAGAGAAAACACAACAACTTGCGGTATGATTACAAAGATCATTATACAAATCATGCGAACCAGTAGATTTCGAAATTTCGTATTTGTAGCAAATAGACGGAGGGAATACTTCCTTCATTTCTTCAAATATTACACAGCAATGAATCAAACAAGTCTCTTTCCGCTGTTACTCCGAGTTTCGTGTGAAAACACTTCACCAGACAGCATTTTTGATTCATTGCTGGGTAATATTTGTATTACTGGCTCTGTTCACTGGACATAGAGCACTGTAAGCAGCCTAGGGACTTTAGACAACTGTCTACTTCATTTCTTCAATACATGTACATGTACGTGCGGGTATGGCTTTAAGACCTTGAACGGTCAAGCCGTGAGCTTAGCAATGCCATGTGTGCATATATTACCATTATGTTTTGCACACTTTTCCAATTGTCCGCCAACTCCAGCGCAGCCGTTTACACATTCAGGAAATGTTAATTCTCAACTCCACACTCCAAAAACGGTCTATTTACCACGATTCAAAATTCAAATCTTGAGTTGAGACGCGAAGTTTCCTAAATGTTTTGTACACATTAAAGAATCACCTTTAAACTGCCGGCGAGGAGACAACAATTTAAATTTTAATTGAATCGACATGTGAATAAAAGATATCATACTAAGTCCATATTCTTCGTGTTCCGTTGCATCCACAATGTCTGCAGTTCACTCCTCTCTGACATGTTCTCCCTTCGCCGTGACTGCGCTCGCACAGATGGAGTCACCCGCGGCCAAGACAATAATTCCCTTTCTTTACCCATTGTGCAAACTCAAGCTGGTTACAAATCTATTTCATTCCTTGGTGCTGACCGCTTTAATGCGCTTCCCGAATCCCTTCGCACAAATCATATCCCCAATTCATACCGCCAGGAACTTTTAACACATTCATTCATCTTAAGCACCTTGTCAGAATACCTTAGGGTCTGTTGGGAATGCCTAAGTAAAATAAGAAAATACATGGTACAGTCTGTACCATACAATACCGTGTTTATTCGTGCAGTGTCAAACTATGGAAACTATGTTCAGTAAAATGATGGAAGAGGGAAAAAACATATTGTAAAAAGAAAGACCCCTTGGCCTTTGTTTGCAACTCCGAGTTTCGTGCGGAGAAAGCATGTACAATGTGAGTCAAATTGATCACGAATGGTGTTAATCATCGTAAGCAGGAGTGGATTCGCCGACGAGAGCAGAAAGGTTCGCATTTTTCGCTATAAAATCTACTGGTAATCCAAGCAGAGAATGAAACCTACAGCTGGGCAATTCTATCTTTGAACATAAAAATTCAGCTTTCGTCATGTGAGAGAATCGACGTTATTTCACAAAAATGGCGGCTTCGTCAATTCCAATATCCTCTGACCTAGCGGTATCGTCAGAACAGACTCTTATTTGTATTTTCTCTGACGTTTTCGTGTCTAGTTGGCGGTGAAACCAAGGCATATCCGGGCTATCGCAACACGAACTTCCCGAACCACACTCGCTGGTATTGCTCCACGCATGGTCTGCAGCAGTAAACGCCCACTCTCGCCAGACGTTCCCTCGATCTGCGCAATAGTAATGATCGCCCACGAATGCCTGCGCTTGGTGGCCCGGACGTGCACTGCACGGACAGTGATAGCTGGGGTCCACATAGTCGTCAAAGCTTGCTGCGTATGTCCACAGATGTTGCATAGGTGAACCGTATGTTAGTGACACACCATCAACATAGTAACTGTCTAGTGGAATGGTGGAACGGTGAGCAAAGGCGTCCATCGATGCCATCTGAATGGGAAAGGGTGAAACCAAAAAGGAGAAAATTTGCTCATCATATTGATCATGAAAGCTTTGTTTGTGTTTTTCAGGTACAATGCCAGGTACTGAAGGCCAATGCAGCTGACTCTCATAACATGGAGTATATAATACATTCACAGGGGAAGGGAGTGACTTTTGACGGTGGTAAACTAGACTTACCCGATACCCGGTGACGAATCCCATCACTTCGCTGTAATCACCAACCATGGAAGGGTATGTTGCCATTGAGCAGCCTTGTGATACAGTCACAGGCCGTCTGCAAACCGGCACTTGCAAATCTTGGAATTGCATAGCGCCCGCGCATCGCCGCTGTTCGGCAGGGTTCATGTAAGCAATCCGTGTCCAGCCACCCCCGTAGCGCTCCATGTCACAGTAAACCTGAACAACACAGCACATGCAAGAGCGAACACGTTTGTCTCTAGGCTTGTACGAACAGGGAATTCCACTAATCATCTAATCTGAGCTTGAGAGTCGCAATGTACATGTTCGTGTCTCAATAATGTTAGCAGTGATCCTGAAAGGAGGCAGAAGGAACGAATTTGATCAAGAAGCCATCTTTCAATCTCCCTTACCTCAATTATGCTTCCCTGTGAGGATACAATCTTGTAGAGACCTACAGGTTAGGGAAAGGCAAACCAGTGCATTCACAAAATTGTCAAGCCTTGAACTTGCGAACTATATGTTTTCCACAAAGCCAGCACGATTTGGACGTGTTCACCGCGGTCTCTCATTACTGGAACCCTTTCTCTCTGAATTCAAACATTCCCTCTGCCAGCGCTATCGTCAACACACTCTCTATACTGATGGCATACCAACCAACGTCTTCATACCAACCAACGCCTTGACTGTCGCAATTCCTATACATGTACATGTACTTATTTACTCTTTTTTAAACTTCTTTTGATACAACTTTTCTAAGTACAATACTTGTACGCACGTGTTTCTGTTTCCAGCCTGATGGTGGGCGATGCTAAAAAAGCTGGTGAACAGTTCAAATGCCATATGCAGCAAAGAGACCGTATTTGTAGTGTTTGAGTCGAGGTACCCTAATCCTCTGATATACTCTTGCTCTATTCTTTCCGGAACACATGACATTTGTGGGATAATGAGATCCCTCCACAGGCCTAGAGCCTCTGTGAACACACCTTAGAATTCACACTAACGCCGGTTACCTGTCGATTTGATCAACACTAGATTGACCTGCTGTACCATACGTACAGAATGACAATGGCCACTCACCGGACGGAAGGGAAACATTACGTTTGGCGCTTTGCAGATCTTTACATGACGTTGGCAAAGAACTGAGAACGTCTTGACCCAGACGAAGTGACCTACGGACGTATAAAGCACCATCATCAAGCTCATTTCAACAGACTATGATGTGGAGAGGCAATAACTAAATCATGACCCGCATGAGATTAAGTCAGACTGAGTTTACGCCATCCGCAGAAACTCAACCACTCCCTCAAGGAGGCAATAGCATTTCATTCAGACCATCCGCCTGAATAAAGCTCGAAGAAGCATACATGTGTCCTTGGCTGTAGAATCACTGGATTTTATAATAAGCAAGCCATGATGTAGCTGTGTGACACATTGCAAGACATAAATGCACTAGCCATTCTATCACCGTGGTCTACAATACTTCCTTCGGCCAGACAACTATGCTTGAACATCTCCACTACGGCAAGGATTTTTGTTATTAGATTATAGATTATAGTCGCTGATTGCCCAAACACAGCTCCTTAGTGAAGGTAGACAACGAATGAATTATTTTGATATAACAGATATTTCACTAGTAAATCCCCTCACTTGCGAGCCGTGGAACTACAAATTCTATTCGATGTTACCTGGGAGTACATTCCAGACACTAAGTCCCTGTAGAATGTGTAGATTGCTACTTACTGAGAATGTTTGATAGCAGACGAGAAGGCCGTTCACAGCGAGAAAGCCACACAACAAGACAATGCACACGAAACAAAGCTTAGACCATTGCCATACCCATAGGGTGCACTGCAATACCCACTGCGAGACCCATCTAGTACTGGCCCACAATGCAACTTGGAGGTATTGACGACCTATGGTGAAACAGATTTTGTCTGAGTTTTTCTTTTAAAAACTATTATTCCACTACGGGAACTGTTAAATTATTATTTTCAAGGTGAAATAGTTCAGGAAAAACTTCTGCCATCTGATAGTATTGGTGTAAATAAGCCATCACGCCTCCACTAATGGGCGAATGTTCGATATTTTCGATTTGGGCATTTGCACTCAGGAACGAGGGGAGAACTTCAGTCTTCAACTCCTACACGCACACATATCATGATCATCAGGTTACAAAAGAGGTGGCCTGAAAGAGGTAGAGCGAGACCAGCGGAGGAAAACGTAATAAGACAAATTGACCAAGATTTTGTGAAGCAATGAGGCTTGTACTTTGAAGCCACACAGGGCCAGTTCTCACATACGAGGGTGATACCCAATGCTGGGAGGTATAATTTCATGCAGAAAAGGCAATTATTATTAATGGATGTCGGCCTATTTTCACTAAGGCTCAACTGAGGCTTACATCCTGCTTCAAAAACAATTTCACTGATAGTTGTTTCCATGTTGAGCTTGAAGCACCGTCTCGCTCCTGTGCTGTAGAGCTATTTCTTTCAACTTTTCAAGCACGTCTCTTTTCACAGGCAAGACACATGCCTGTCCGATTGGTGGGCGAGTGCTAGAACCGATAGACGCGTACCCATCACTCAGATAACACCTAACTCAGATTTCCTGCTGCTTTAAACAACGTCCTGGCATTATTGCACCATCAGGTCAATCTGGTTTTGATCAAATCGACAGGAGACCGGCGTTTGGCGTTGACGGGGTGGCAGGAATGACCTTGCCAGTTCAAACACTTCCATGTGAATCGAAACTGCAAGACGCCCCAACCGTACTTCTGAGTTGCCTGAGGGTCGATGGTGAAAAGGCGTACAGCTCGGGGTTGAAACATATTATTCTCCTTTCTGATAGTGTGTAACTAAGTTAGTCTGTGTGATGTCAGCCCAACCAGGTCAAGCCAAGCATGCACTTCAGGCGACTAGTTCATGATGGCGCATGCTGGTTGTGACGTAACATACAGGCAACATATATGACGTGATAGTCACATGATAAGACATGAGCATCATATCACATCAGCCTGGTTATGTATTTATGGGCTCTAAGAATAGCACACCCCATGGCCTCAACGTAAGGAACACTATTAATTATAGCAAACGTGTCCATGAGAAGAGAAGAGAAGTCATATGCGGCTCTGCAGGCTGAAGCAGCTCATGTAATGATCGGTTAGCTCGAATTTGTTTGAATTTTATGTAAAAGTCATGATAAATTGTCACCAGTCTGCAGACAAGTTAAAAAGATTTCGTTAGAGCTCCTCACCAGTTTTTCAATTTCGTCCAGCCTCTTATCCTGTGAAGCGTGCATACTTGATAGGCTCTCGTCGACTTTGGACTGGAGTGACCGCATGAATGTCGAGAGTGTCTGGGCACGGTCTGCTGCAGACTGAGATGCCTTCTCCTCCACGTTCACCAGCCGCTCCTCGAACTCTCTAATTTCGGATGCAATCCCTCGCACCTCGTCCTGTAGCCAGTCTGAGCACACAAAATGATCACAAGGCTAAAAACCTCAGTCAGGTCACTAGCAAAGAGACAATCATGTTTATCGTCTAATACCTCAGTCAGGTCAGTATCAACGTGACATGTTCATCGTCTACTACATGTACCTCAGTCTACATTACTTGAAGTAGATGCTTTGGAGGCATTGCTATTGCTTAGCATGGCTTTTGGCGAGTAATTGTATGCATGCATCCCCACCTCATCCACGGCGCAGTCGTGTTTGGTATGAGACGTCTTACCAGTCAGTGATCACTTACAATTCTGACAGTGTCTGCCGCGAAACAGATGTTTGCACCTACAGCGATAGCTTGTCTGTCCAATAGTCTGACACGTTCCGCCATTCTGGCATGGATTACGTGCTGAGCAGACCACCGACAGTGCTGTATGACATGACACAATAGCGAGCAGATCACATGCAACACAATAGTAACTGAGAATGATGGTTACTCAATATCTAGTAAAAATAATATGCTGAAGAACAACAAGTACATGTGACGGGTATTACACGAGGCAGAAATACAGAGACCAAAAAAGCTTTCTCGTTACTCCGAGTTTCGTGTTCAAAAACATTCATCAGACGAACCTTTGTTCTCCCTTGTGAAGTACGCTCTGCCCTTGTTAGGGTATTGAGCTCTATTTGCAGCAAGGTCTTCAGATATTTTGTGATGGGTATTAGAGAATGTGGAAATGAATCCTGGGCTCCTACCATTCTGACAAAGACGACCAGAATAGCCAGGGTTGCAGACACACTGGTAGTCCTTCACGTGGGCTATGCCATTGGTGGATGTAATGTTAGCATAGATACATCTACCTCCATGATGGCACGGCGTTGGATGGCTGCATTGTCCACCTAGGTATTGTACACGGATAACATAGACAACACTGCCAGGGGAAAAGCTACATTATATTAATTAATTAATTAACTATTGCATACTGAGTGTCACGAGAAATTCCTGAATTAAATTACAGGCTATTATAGCGAGTGAAGATATTATTGCGTATTAATTTTTAGATGACGAAAATACTCGATCTGCGGTCCGAACTGTTTCATCCTATGTGGACTCATCAGCGCAGCTCAAGGAAAACGATGCCGAACCTGGTACAGTTTAGGAATGAATAATCATTTTCCAAAGCCAGATTAAACCAGGCCCGAACGTACCTCCAAATGACGAAAATACACCTTCACTACATATCCGTACACGTGACGTCACCATCTTCTTCCGTGATCATCACAGAGCATTCACTACCCATATTCCGCGGTTTTCCAGGCTATTGCAGTATCCCTGCTAATGCCGGTGTACAAATTTGCAAATCGCTTCTTATCATTTTGCCTTACTTGTGCATCGAGAAAAGTGATTTGCGCTGTCTTGGCCACCGAACACAAAGGACAGCAGGAATGGACTTGTCGTGGTGATGGAGTTAGCATCCACCGGTGTTTCCAGTTCTCGCAGCACTCTTTCGTACGTTTTCAAATCCGCCACGTCTTTGGTGGGAAAAGCGATTCTCAGCCACTCCGTCATGCAAGTATCTGTACGGTCAACAACAAAGGGAAGAAGTGAAGCCACCGTGAGCAAAACTGCCCTGCTGATGAATAAAGCGCAGCTCTACTTCATGCAGCACTCTATATCAATGGGATATCGACTATTCTCTTGAACTATTACTTGCAGTACACCTAACCGGATGGCGAATCATAGAATGAATGAGTGAATGACCATACCATGTTGCGGTGGCGACATCGACGGGCCGTGAACGTTTGCTCCTGATATCAAGCTCCCAGCACCAGTCAACAAGATAACAGCCGTGACGAGCCAGTCCATGGTGGGCGTTGGTTAGCAGGAGGGACTTGAGAAGCAATACGAATCCTCTTCTAGGTCTCAAATATCTACCTTGTTTGCTTCGTAATATAGAAAGGTTGCTTGGAGTGGAAGAAATCCGATCTGATGCCAACATCGATACATGTACAATGTAGTCAATGAGACTTGACTTGACGAAGAATGTTAGCACCATGTCTAAGCCTGTCATGCATTCACCTGTCATTGATCGGCTGTCATCTTCTGTTCAGGCTTTAGCTGTGCCTGGCTAGGACCTGATGAATGATACAGTCAGTAGACAGTACTTACCGAGTCTCTCCGTGCACGGAGTTGCAAACCCCCACTGGCCGCAGCTGCTTTATCGTCATGCATTTACAAGCATACCAGTCCATATTGTGCGTGCAGAGCAGCTCGCCGAAACGAGAATTCTCATCAGGCAAACACGGAAATTAAAGGTATCTACCGGGTTTTCTTGTCACTTGAGGTAAAATCAGCTTTCCTGTAATACAAAACATGGTAATAGATACGCCTTGTTTTCTTGAAAACAATAATAATATTTACGGTCCGGCGGATTCTGCCGGCAGAAAAGTTGGCAGAATTCGGTACTTTTTCTGGTAAGTTTCATGCATGGTTGGTATGTGGATAAAAAGATGGAGCAGAATTCGAGGAATTGCGCGCCATAAGGCTTGTATGGTTCTGCCAATTTCACTGCTTTTCGACCAGAATCTGACACCTATTCGAGCAGAATCCGCCGGTCCCTGTGGCTCATATATTGTTGGTTGACAGCATTTTGCAAGGCGGAGGACGCACAGTGTTCGGAAACGGTGCCCCCCCCCCACAACAACTTCCACGGTTGGCAGAGCCCTGGTCTTGTGATCATTTGAACCAAAATTTAATGTCAACCTTGGATGTTGTACATTATTAAAGCGTGACCGCAAGCGCAGACACAACCAATTCAAGTCGGTTATCAAACTGCCCTTCATCAACGACTCACTTGCCGCCCGTGTCTCACGACGTGTTCGAAAGTTCAGTCCGCATGTTTGTGTTGTCTATGTATCTGGTCCTTCTTTGAGGGATATGTTGGTCCGATCGTCGAGTGCCTTCCGTGTGTGTCCCCGTGAGAAGCAGCGATCGGAGGTGAAGAGAGGGAGAGGTCGGCCAATGCAGTGTCGTGCATGTGATGCGAGTATGGGGAATAGTCAGTGTTTAGTCAAAGGTGTTGTCTATTGTATGTCTTGCACGTTGTGTGCGTAATTGTACGTTGGTGAGTCCTAGCGCCCGGTGAGGGACCGATTCTCTGAGCACTACCGAGAGGTAAGGGCGATGGTGGCGAAGGCTCCCTGGGGCTTCCACTTTCGTACCCAGCATCGAGAATCTTCAACGTCTTCCAACTTTCTGCCCTTCCACCAGGCAAAGATTCTCGGCAGGGAGGCTTAGCTTCCATCAAGGAAACTGCTTGAAGCCATCGAGATAAGGAAACGCACACCAGCCGTCAATTGCCATGACGGTTTACGCCTAATTGACTAATTGGATGTCACCGGATCGTCACTGGAATGGACGCCCATCTCCTCGAACCACCACTGGACTTTACCACCTGAAAAAGCACACATACACATACTGAAGTACTTTGCACTTACACTTGTCATGTACATAGATCACCTTTAGCATTCCCACACTTGAAAGTGTTCTTGTACGTGCTGTGATAGCCTTATCTTCTTTCTTCTGTTTAGGTCACCTTACAGGTGATGATTGTAAACTTTAGTGTTAGTGTTAGTTTTCTTGCCTTTTTGCCCAATTGTGTCTGTGTGTATGTGTGAGGTTTTTTCCTTCTTCTTTTTTTCTCTTCTTTCGTTCTGTTTAGTTCACCTTACAAGTGACGATTGTATAGTTTGCTGGCCTTGCCGATTGTGTCACCACAATGTGTTAGTTCTAGAACATTCATCTGCCTGCGTTATTCGTCTTTATATTTCGTTTTTTTGCCTCCCGTTCCTCAATGCCCTGATGATGTCCAATGGGCGAAATATTGGCACAGTGTTTTTTTTCTACTTCGAAGTATTTGGTTCAGCTGTGAGCCTGGTGCCGGAATGGCGGTATTTTCAAGTGCAAGAAATACGCAGCAATGGAGTGTGGGAATTCTGAAGAAAGGAAAAAAATGCATAGTGAAAAGAAAGATCATTTGTCATTTATTTGCAACTCCGAGTTTCGTGCGGAGAAAACATTTACAGTGTAACTCAAAATGATCACGAATGGTGTTAATCATCGTAAGCAAGAGTGGATTCGCAAACGAGAGCAGAAGGGTTCACACTTTTGCTATAAAAGGTACTGGTATCGCAAGCAGAAAATATAAACTCCAGCTCGGCAATTTAATCTTTGAACACAAATTTTAGCTTTCGTCATGTGAGGGAATCGATGTCATTTCACAAAAATGGTAGCCTCGTCAATTGCGACATCCTCATGGCTTGCTGCCTGATCAGAACAGACTCTTATTTGTATTTTCTCTGACGTTTTCGTGTCTAGTTGGCGGTGAAACCAAGGCATGTCCGGGCTATCGCAGCACGAACTTCCCGAACCACACTCGCTTGTATTGCTCCACGCATGATCTGCAGCAGTAAACGACCACTTTCGATAGACGTTGCCTCGATCTGCGCAATAGTAATGATCGCCCACGAATGCCGGCGCTTGCTGGCCCGGTCGTGCACTGCACGGACAGTGATAGATGGGGTGCACATGGTCGTCAAAGCTTGCTGCGTATGTCCACAGATGTTGCATAGGTGAACCGTATGTGATTGATACACCATCAACATAGTAACTGCGTAGTGGAATGGTGGAACGGTGAGCAAAGGCGTCCATCGATGCCATCTGAATGGGAAAAGGCGAAACCAAAAAGGAGCAAATTAGCTCAGCATGTTAAAATCATGAAAGTTTTGTTTGTGTTTTTCAGGTACAATGCCAGGTACTCAAGGCCAATGCAGCGGACTCTCTTGCCATAGAGTATAATACATCCACAGGTGAAGGGAGTGACTTTTGACGGTGGTAAACTAGACTTACCCGATACCCGGTGACGAATCCCATCACTTCCCTGTAATCACCAACCATGGAAGGGTATGTTGCCATTGAGCAGCCTTGTGATACAGTCACAGGCCGTCTGCAAACCGGCACTTGCAAATCTTGGAAGTGCATAGCGCCCGCGCATCGCCGCTGTTCGGCAGGGTTCATGTAAGCAATCCGTGTCCAGCCACCCCAGTAGCGCTCCATGTCACAGTAAACCTGAACAACACAGCACATGCAAGAGCGAACACGTTTGTCTCTAGGCTTGTACGAACAGGGAATTCCACTAATCATCTAATCTGAGCTTGAGAGTCACAATGTACATGTTCGTGTCTCAATAATGTTAGCTGTGATCCTGAAAGGAGGCAGAAGGAACGAATTTGATTAGGAAGCCATCTTTCAATCTCCCTTACCTCAATTATGCTTCCCTGTGAGGATACAATCTTGTAGAGACCTACAGGTTAGGGAAAGTCAAACCAGTGCATTCACAGCATTGTCAGGCCTTGAACTTGCGAACTATATGTTTTCCACAAGCCAGCACGATTTGGACGTGTTCACCGCGGTCTCTCATTACTGGAACCCTTTCTCTCTGAATTCAAACATTCCCTCTGCCAGCGCTATCGTCAACACACTCACTTAACTGATGGCATACCAACCAACGCCTTCCTACCAACCAACGTCTTCATACCAACCAACGGCTTGACTGTCACAATTCCTATACATGTACTTGTTTACTCTTTTTTAAACTTCTTTTGATACAACTTTTCTAAGTACAATACTTGTAAGGACGTGTTTCTGTTTCCAGCCTGATGGTGGGCGATGCTAAAAAAGCTGGTGAACAGTTCAAATGCCATATGCAGCAAAGAGACCGTATTTGTAGTGTTTGAGTCGAGGTACCCTAATCCTCTGATATACTCTTGCTCTATTCTTTCCGGAACACATGACATTTGTGGGATAATGAGATCCCTCCACAGGCCTAGAGCTTCTGTGAACGCACCTTAGAATTCACACTAACGCCGGTTACCTGTCGATTTGATCAACACTAGATTGACCTGCTGTACCATACGTACAGAATGACAATGGCCACTCACCGGACGGAAGGGAAACATTACGTCTGGCGCTTTGCAGATCTTTACATGACGTTGGCAAAGAACTGAGAACGTCTTGACCCAGACGAAGTGACCTACGGACGTATAAAGCACCATCATCAAGCTCATGTCAACAGACTATGATGTGGAGAGGCAATAACTAAATCATGACCCGAATGAGATTAAGTCAGACTGAGTTTACGCCATCCGCAGAAACTCAACCACTCCCTCAAGGAGGCAGTAGCATTTCATTCAGACCATCCGCTTGAATAAAGCTTGAAGAAACATACGTGTGTCCTTGGCTGTAGAATCACTGGATTTTATAATAAGCAAGCCATGATGTGGCTGTGTGACATATTGCAAGACTTAAATGCACTAGCCATTCTATCACCGTAGTCTACAATACTTCCTTCGGCCAGACAACTATGCTTGAACATCTCCACTACGGCGAGGATTTTTGTTATTAGATTATAGATTATAGTCGCTGATTGCCCAAACACAGCTCCTTAGTGAAGGTAGACAACGAATGAATTATTTTGATATAACAGATATTTCACTAGTAAATCCCCTCACTTGCGAGCCGTGGAACTACAAATTCCATTCGATGTTACCTGGGAGTACATTCCAGACACTAAGTCACTGTAGAATGCGTAGATTGCTACTTACTGAGAATGCTTGATAGCAGACGAGAAGGCCGTTCACAGCGAGAAAGCCACACAACAAGACAATGCACACGAAACAAAGCTTAGACCATTGCCATACCCATAGGGTGCACTGCCATACCCACTGCGAGACCCATCTAGTACTGGCCCACAATGCAACTTGGAGGTATTGACGACCTATGGTGAAGCAGATGTTGCCTGCGTTTATCTTTCAAAAACTGTTATTCCACTACGGGAACTGTTAAATTATTATTTTCACGGTGAAATAGTTAAGGAAAAAACTTCTGCCATGTGATAGTATTGGTTTAAATAAGCCATCACGCATCCACTAATGGGCCAATGTTCGATATCTTCGATTTGGGCATTAGCACTCAGGAACGAGGGGTGAACTTCAGTCTTCAACTCCTACACGCACACATATCATGATCATCAGGTTACAAAAGAGGTGGCCTGAAAGAGGTAGAGCGAGACCAGCGGAGGAAAACGTAATAAGACAAATTGACTA